ACTAAACTAAAGTAATTAAGTTAAATTAAACTAAATCAAATTAAATCAAATTAAATTAAATCAAATCATATTAAATTCAGAAAATCAAAGTCCACAGAACTAACCCCTTCCCTTGAAACGATTCTGCCATCCATCTCCATGCTCTCCCCTGGCAAACTTGATCTCGATGTCCGGCTTGTGAGCGGAGTAGCGCAGTTTGAGTGGGATCTCCTTGAACCACAGGTCAAGGGCTCTCTGAAAGGCGCGCCTGATTGAGTAGACAAAAGGACAAGGTCAAGGGCTCTCTGAAATTGAAATGCACGCTTGGTTGAGTAGACGAAAGGAAAAGGTCAAAGGTTCTCTGAAAGACGCACCTGATTGAGTAAGCAAAAGGACCAGGTCAAGGGCTCTCTGAAATGCGCGCTTGATTGAGTAGGCAAAATGAAGACGTTAAGTTTCCAAGACCGCCAAGCACACTATGGTGAGTCTTGTTTTTCAAATCTTACAAGAGAGACATAAATTGGATTTTCTGGAAGAGTTTTTTTGGGGGGGATAAGCTTCATTTTTATAAGGGAGCCTAATGTCTGTCAGGGCATTTGTGAGGCAGCGTGGTGGAATCAGGCTCACGTAAATTTTTTGGCACATTGAGTTATCGGTATCATCTTACAGCTACCAAAAAGTTTTCTTTTCTAAAATTGTCTCCTTTCACCTCCTTTCCTGCTCTCCAACAATGTTCTGTCGTCTGCTTTCGTCTCCACTTTCTGCCCCCATCCCTTCACTCCCTTTGTCCCCCTCCTCTGGGCTCCTGACTCTTTCTGCAGCATTCCTACTGCTTCTCCTTGACTCCTCCTTACTGCTGTCTTTCAGCCACACCCTTGATCTTCTGGTAAGAAAGTTCTACACCTAGCCTTCTCGGACAAGGGCAAAAAGTCTTGGACGGCCCGTGTGCAAATTCCGCACGTTAAAGATCCCTTGGTGGTCTAAAATTGATAGGAGTAGGCTTCGGCCGCCGCCAGGGCAAAATTAAAAATTTCCTACCAACTTAAAATGTTAGGTGTGTCCTCGCGCTCATAATATGACCTTGTGCAGTTGCGAACGCCGTAAAACACTTTATCATAATCATTGCCTTTCTCATCCTGCACCAGGGTATAGGCCACGAACAAACACCTTCCACCTTTCTCTATCCTGGGCTAGCCTCTTGATGTTATTCCATGTCTTCCCATTTTTCTGTACAACGATTTCTGTGATTCTTCTCCAGGTTCCACGCTGTCTTTCCCTTGATCTCTTACCCTGTGGATTTCAATCCAAAACTTCTTTGTTATGCAGCTGTCTGACTTCCTGAGAGTATTTCCAATCCATCGCCATCGCCTTCTTCCTACCTCATCTCTGACTGGGATCTGTCTTGTTTTCCCTAACACTTCCACCTTGGTGACCCTGTCTTTTTTTCTTTTATAGTAGAGGGTTTTTCGGTGCTCTCAACTGCATAAGGTCATATGAGCGCCAAGGGGTGGGTGTCAACAGAGAAGTCTTTACAGGGAATCAGACTTAGACTGCTCACCTCTCTAGCTTCAACAGCACAAGGTCTGCTTCGACTATCAAGGCACCTCAAAATA